ACAAGTGATACCATACCAATCTTTATGACATATCTTACTACCATTGGTTGGATGACAGGTGTAATGTCCAGAGGTGTCATTGGTTGGTGTACAGTAGATGGTACATGAGATACCATACCAATTTCTATGGCATAATTTTTGTCCAGTTTCGTTATGGCACGTGAAGTGTGTGAATTCGCCTGACGTTCTACAATGTATGCTGCAGTCTTTTCCAAACCAATGCATACCACACACTTTTTTACCGATGTTGGTACATGTATAGTTTCCTTGATGATCATCTTTTGCTTTACAGTACGTTGTACAGTTTGAACYATACCAGTCGTCCAGACAGGATATGGTACCATCACCAAGGCAACTATAGTATCCGTTGTTTGAACTGTTTCCAGGAAAGCACCACACTAAACAATCTTTTCCAAACCAATGTTGATGACACACTTTACTTCCTGTATCATTGCAGTAGTAATGTCCGAATGAATCATTGCGAGATGAGCAATAATGAGTACAAGACGGTCCATACCAGTCATTTAAACAGTGCTTTGTCCCATTATTGTTACAGGTGTAGTGACCTGTARCATYATCAGYATATTTACAATAAATATCGCAGCCACGTCCATAATAATATGCATGGCAAAATATCGTAAACGATATTTTCAACGTTGATTTGTTTAAGACTCTCTGTCCCGTCAAAGTCCGATTGTAATTTTTCATGGTGTTGTTTTGTGATGGAAAAGTGTCAATTGTTGTGGAATACTTGTCTATTAGATCGTCATTGCTAGTCGTATCGTCGTCCAATACCTCGATATAGATTCCAAAGTCTTGCTGTTCAATAAAATATAGTTTCAGTTTGGAGTATGGTAAATATCGATTTATATTGACTTTTCTCAGGGTGAGCTTGCAGACAGRCGCAAGCCTGCCAGGAGTTGTAGCAAGACGCATAAGGTGATGATGAGGATGGTAGATTAATGGTATACGTAGCTATTGAGTGGGATACGTACGAAAAAAGGTAATATGTATCCGAATTGTAATATTGACTACAATATCAGGTATCCGGACTTACCGTTTTTGAAGTAAAAGTAGAAGAAACTTTAAAGTTCAATGAAAAAGTGTTTTTTGTCGTTGTTCCACTTTTGGAGTTAGCTAGACAGCCAGTCATACTGGAGGGGTTAGGTGATGATGTTAAACAGACTTTAAAGTAAGTATCGCATGATGAGCATGCTGGCCAATCACAGCAAGCACCGTTCCAATCTTTACCAACCGGGTTCTTGAATTGTTGTAAAACAACCTCGAACCTTCCACCTGCCGAGCTATCAACGCGATTCTRGAAAACATAAGCAGCATTAACTTCACTGCAAAACGAGTTGCTGGASAGTTGCAAAGGGTGTAGCATAGCAGGATCGTATCTCCTCATGCATTAAACAGTCTAAAAGTTGCTGGAGTCGTGATACAGTCCAATGGTACTCCAAGTTGCTCTAATGCAACCTCAGTTTTTCTTTCTCTAAAAGAAGATAAAAGTCCCTGCAACATTGTTGTGTAATTCTAGGAACTCGATTATCCAGAACTAAGTTACGTGAAAACATAACCTTTACTCAATCGGTATCTCTACACCACACAACAAGCCCCAACACCGGTGCAACATATCCTAACAATTCAGTTGACATAGATCTTTGATGGACAGCTTTGTGGCCATAAAGTAACCAAAGTGGAAACAGTATATCTAAACCATATTTGAGTTCACATTCTTATCTATTTGCATTTATCTGATAGGATGACTGCTATCTTACATGAAGTCAAGCTATCTATTTGCATTTATCTGATAGGATGACTGCTATTTTACATTATCTGATAGGATGACTGCTATCTTACATTATCTGATAGGATGACTGCTATCTTACATGAGGTCAAGCGACGTGGGATTTACACTGGTGCTCCGTTACACATATTTGCATCAGCTCCGAAGGAATTGCACATTTCTAGTTTGTCGATTATTATCTTTTGACCTTTTCGCTTTTAAAATCGTTTGTTTTTTGTATATTTTATTTTGTCCAAATCGAATAGTTTTGAGATGTCCGCCGGTCATGTACCACCTACCACCCCTCCCTATGACGTCGACTTCGTGCTCACAGTGAGAAAATAATGTGAAAAACATACATACAAGGTGTATCTATCATGCACAATTTTAATCCACTTTAATATACCATTCACTTCAAGCTAAACATGGAACTGAGCTTTGTTGTCGTTTCCAATTTTAGTTCAAGNTCCATCATGGTATTTGGAAGTAAACTCTTTACTTTGTTCAACACCATGTTGATATAGCCAGGAACTTTCGAAGTAGTGTTCTTCGTGACTCGGCTAAAACCAAGGTGATTCTACTTGGAGGGTTGTAGCTACCACCATCATTGCAATTCACTGTTGACCTTAGGATACGGGAGATGTTCGTCCTAACATGCTTCCGTTAGCAATTAACGAGTGAACGCCTATTGGACACCTTCAACCGCCTGACGAGTGTTTTACAGAAGGTTTGTGTTTATATAAGCTATTTCATTAAAGTCTGTCTGAGAATGTCGAATCCCGAGTGACGTCAGACATGCAGTTTTCAAAGTATGTGGAGGGCGTCACCACCGGTAATCAAATCTCATTTCGAGCTGAAAATTGCATTTTTTCATACTCCTCTTAATCGAAATATTAGTTTCATCTTTAGAAATGGTGGTGGAGCTAAAAACTGCTCCATCCCTGTCGTCCCTATGGAGACAAATCGTTATTTGTAATCACATGATCACCATGCGTTCATACTTTGGTAAATGACATTTTCGCAAAAATGACTTGGACGGACAATCATCTSTGGAGTGTTCAACATGATGAAAACATCGAAATCAGCAGTAGAATTGTATTTTATTGTACTTTATTGAAAATTTGTTTTAAGATAATTTGATTGTTTAGCACATCGTCTGATTAACATTGTTTKCGTCCGYGCGTTAAAAGCCATTTTTCGCCCTCTCCCGTACTGAGCATTCTWAGAGACAAATTACTGAAGAAACAAGACTTCGCTTATCCCATTTGACAAAGGTTTCTTGATTGGCAGATGTGATGACTAAAACTCGTCCATATCAACTTGGAAACACAGCAATTGGAGCGCCATCTTTCTTTTAAATGTKACCATCAATGCATCTATCAACCTATAACAACAATATCGTATATCASTGGGATMATTACCCAGGCTCTAAAGATAAACAGGMCACCCGGCGAAATCAAGCATCATATGAAACGTTTTTCACTCACTTTTTATCAGATTCTTTAGATAAAGGTGGGAGGACTTCAAGAGCTCCAAGGAATGTAGCCCTGAAGAGAAACAGAAAAATACTTGTGATCGTGATATTGATGATGCTGATGATAATAATACCAAATACCTTGCTTGTGGGGTCAAGTACGCCATTAGCGCTTCCTGCAGAGCTCTGGATTCTAAATGTGCCTAACAACAGTTATAACCAGACTATAAATTATCAAATTGTTGTGGACTTTAATGATACATTACTGTTACTGAAATGACCGATTTGCCACAGTGATGACAGGTCAATACGTTAAAATGGTATTTGCTTTACCGTTACTGCTCCAGCAGACATAAACTTCCTTTTACTTTGACCAGCTTTATCAAGTAATCTTTTGAATTCTTCAGCAAGAAGTCCTGTGAGTGCTGAAAGAACCTGAGGTAGCAAGTCACTTGACACGGAGAATACTTGTGCATGAACCACTACAAGATTCATGACGACTTCTTTAACGTAGTTACGAACATCTGCGGACAAATCAGTTATATCTAAGAGGGAGCCGGGATTTTCTTCAAGGTGCGAAGCACCCAGGAGGGCGTGCAAACATCACAAAGGAGACAAAAAAGTATTTGATGATGCAWGGAGAATCGTAACTAACAAGGTCTGCGTGTTGCAATTAAAACATAATGATAAGATATATCTATACTAATTTAATATCRATGAAGGAATCAGTCTTACTTACCATTGGGGGGCAGGCAGTCATACCATCTAAAGTCCCCAGCTGACATCCCTGGTTCCAAGTTRCCAACAAGTGACTCTGCTTTCTGCTCGATGTAGGCATCAAATATTTTCTTTTCAAGTTTTGTCAATTCTCCCTGAAGAGACTGGGGACAAAAAGAACACCATGTTCSAAGCTAAACAATATTAGAGATATCCCATGAATCATTGAGKTACCTGAGTTAGTTGRTCACTCATGGGATATGCTTGCTTTTTGAAACTTGCCACTAGTTTGGTYAACACATGCTTCCTTACATATCTGCAGTTGTTGAGGACAATCAGCAATCGTTCATCCTACATCAACAAAAGAGCCATGAACTACAGTTTATTTACCAGCCTGTATATTTCATACTTACAGTCACTGGTATATTGTCGTCTAGAGAGTATGTTGATCGGTCTAAATACTCATCCGACTGACTGCAACTACAAACAAAACTGTATTTCAAAACTGGTCCTAATTATCATACAAACTCAAAAGGTATAGATTTGACATCAAAGATATCTAGATTCTTTATTAGTTTTCACAAATTATAACATCAAAAATATGTYAATTATGGAACTCACACTGATGTCCTATCTGATTGATCTTGTTCTGGTTGGAAAGCTAACTGCTGCAGACAATCAATAAATGCCTAAAAACATAAATCAATTCCTTTACAACAATACAGTAGATACCAGTCAAACCCATTAACGATGTTCAGTGGTAAAGATAACACAGTCATTTGTATTAATCACTTTTTACAAGAACATTCAATACCAAGTTCATTACAATAAAATGTGATTTGCTATTTATCTGGAGTTCTACACCCTTTCCCAGTTAAGTTTATATTATAGCTATCATAATATGCTCTGTGATTGGTCAAATGTTATTGTTTATTTCAACAGTAAAAGCACGGATGCGAAAATGCTATAAGAGCAATAAACACTCTTGGGGTATTGGGAACAACACTCGCCTCTGCTTCAAAATTTTTTATGCCTTTTTTCGGCATGTTCTTCCAACATCTCACGTGATATATTTCATCAGGAAAGCACAAAAATGTGTTGTTTATTATTTTAATGAAAGCTCTTTTATGATAAATGACATTGTTGTCTTGACTGTTATTGATGTTGAAATCAAAATTCTTACTTTTAATATAATTCAATATGTTATCCTTATGTATTACACCTACCAAAAACATTTCCTTGAATAATTCTGTTCCTCTTTGCTTGATACGACCATGATTCTAATAATGCAAATTTATCTTTTAAGTTGAATTCATGCACAATCTGTTGCTGTTACAATAGTATTTTACCTTATCTTCATCTGGTACTGACTCAGTTGTTATTTCTTCTAATGTATGAAGGGTTTCCATAACAATGTTTTCAAACAACAACGGCTGGAAAGTTACAGAACAGATGTCAAAATGTTTACCAAGACATGATCACATGTATAACTGCTCTAGTTAGCAATGTTAATAATARTGACACTAATAAAACTCACAAGACTAGTGATTCGTCCTATGTTCTCATCTTTTTCAAGATTCCACAATTCATTACAGTGAAGTGTCTTTATCTCTGTCAAAATGAAGATGAGCTTAAACCTACATTTCTCTATAAATGTATGTTAATCTCAAGTGTGTTTGTTTGTATAATACTCTACCTACCAGACGTAGCTTCTCCAAACACCTCTGTAGCACACAGTAACCTTAGATTATCAACCAAATCATGTACACAGTGAAGGGAAGATGGTGGAAGTCCCAGAGAACGCAATGATGACAGACAAGACCTTGATAAAT